AAAGTTGACGTATTTGTCGAATCGAGTCCCTGCTATAAAATATATATAAAATATAAAATGCTGTCAACAGTTCTGACTGGAATTTCAAACTACATACGTATGTTATACTTGTGGGACGTACACACGATGTCGGTGTGGTTATTTATTTGACTTTTCCTAACCCGGACAGTGAGACCAAATATTCTGTCTTTCTGGAATCCAACAGCCATTTGTCACGATCTCGTGGGCAGTAAGCATACTACTGTTTAGCAGAATTACCAGTGGTAGTCGCATGCATAGTATCTCTTCAAATACTTGCTAATGCTAGAACTGAAACCCATCGAAATGCACTAAAGTTTTTTGTATAGTTTTTACCTACATCAAACCTTCTGTAGATTATCTCAGAAAGCTTCAAAGTAGCTGTTTTTCACAAATATACCGGTGTTCTAGTGGAAACAACAATTTGAACATTTTATCTCTAATTTCAGTGTTAATTTAGATGAGGTGGTTAGGCGGGTAGGGGGGCCGAAATGGATAACAACGTGTATCTGAACTCCGACCAGAACAAGCTGGATTCAGGAAAGGCAAATCATCTTCTGACTAAATTGCAACTCTACGCATCATCATCACAGAACAAAGCATGGAATGGCTGGCAATCAAACCTCTACCTCAACTCCCTTCATAGACTTTGATAAGGCCTTCGACAGCGTTGACCGCGAAGTAATTTGGAAACTACTCGAGTACTACGGCGTACATCAAATATTCATCAACCCTATTCAACAGCTGTGCGACAACAGTACATGTCAAGTGATCCACAACAGAAAACTCAGCGAGGCGTTTGGAGTAAACACAGGAGTCAGACAAGAGTGCTTATTATCACCAATGATATTCCTGATTGTGGTCGACTGGATTATGCGTCAGACAATCGGAAACGAGAAGACAGGGATATCCTGAACCGACGTGAAGAACCTAGAAGACCTGGATTTCGCGCGTGGATGATTTATGCTTGATGGCACACAAAGTCGAAGACTTACAAGCGAAAACCGACAAACTGGTCGAAGAAGCAGCAAAGACAGGACTCCAGGTGAACATAGACAAGACGGAGGTTATGAAAATAACCAACCAACAACAACAACAACAGCAGCAACGTCTAGCGCTAATCACCATCAACGGAAGGGATTTGAAAGAGGTTACTTCATTCACTTATCTAGGGAGCATTGTCTCAACTACAGCAGGAACGGATGAGGATGTCAAATCGAGAATCGGGAAGACGAGAAACACATTCATCAACCTGAAACCAATCTGGAAATCTTCGTCACTCAACTCAGCATCAACAACAAAATGATTCGGATTTTCAATACAAACGTCAAGTCAGTCAGTTCTTCTATACGGATCAGAAACTTGGCAGCGGGTCACAAAGAATATTTCCAACAGCCTGTTGCAGACCTTTATCAACAACTGTCTTCGCTCTATACTGATGATCAGATGGCCGGAAAGAACAAGAACCAACAAGAAACTATGGGAACAAACAAAACAAGAACCAATCGACCAACAAATATGCAGGAGAAAGTGGAGATGGATTGGACACTCGCTGAGGAGGCCGCTGGGTGACATCGCACGTCAGGCCTGTGCTCGAGTGGAACCCGGCCGAAAGGGAAGCGGCGAGTTGGTCGTCAGTGCAAGGGTGACATGGAGGAGATCGTGTGAAGAGGAGTTGAAACAGTATGGATTAACATGGACGCAGGTGAAAAGTACAGCAGAAGACAGAAGCAAGTGGAGGCGTGCAGTTGAAGCCCTATGTTCCACTAGGAACCCTAGGGAACAATAATAATAATATAGATTTACTTGACAACAAGACAATTTGACGAGCAAAATCAATGAAATGAAGCGTCAAGGGGAATTGTGCAATATGGGAATGAAGCAACGTTATCACTTACTCCAAAAGATACATCTTAAGTAATGCTTTCGTCAGGAGTGACAAGTCGTAGGCGTTATGTATTCTGCTCATACGAATTTGTAAGCATTAAGAAAGAAGATTTGTAGTTCAGGTAGATGGCATTGAATTAGTTGTGTTCTCTGAGGAGATGGTTGATGACTTAATTGAGAAGCTTTCGTCGTCCCCCTGCTAGACAACATCTTCCTTCAGCGCCGGTTTTTAGTGCAAAATGAACTCATTTAAATTCTCCATGAATGGTGATGTAATTGTATCTCTTGTCAACCATCTTCGTGACTGGTTGTTGGTTGATTTACGTCTCTATTGATCACATTTTTATTGACTTGGAATTCGAACTTTCTTGCCGTGTGATGACTTACTTTTTATCAATAGCTGGTAAATTTGGTCTATATTAATGTGTGTTTGTTAATTGCTGGCTGATTCACTTGAGTACTTGGCTTGTAGAAATTCCCTGGTTGCATTTTTGGTGTTTCCTCTATTTGAAATCTCGACATTATCCCAATGGAATTGGTGTCCATAATTACCTAAATGCATTGATATGAAAGAATATAAAAATCATATCCTTTTACAGCTACCATGGTAATACGCTTTACCTATAATTCTACCTCTTATTATTTTTATTATTATCATTATTATTATTATTCTCATTATTATTATTCTTGATTCATTTAAAACTATCCTTTATCAGTAGCATTATCTTAACTCACTTCAACACTATAATTATTATTGTTATTATAACTATTGCTATTGACATCCCTCTAGTTGCAATTCTTGTTAAATTCTCTAATATCTAATTGTTTATCTAAGTGATGTAATTGAAGCGTAATGCAATTTATCTTAATTTTGATCTCCCATACTCTCTCCCCTTATCTAACTGAACATAACCTGGAAAAACATTCGCACCTGTCTTTCTGCATGACTAATTCAATGTAGTTTATTTACTTATCAGTCTTATATCTCCCAATGTAATTTAAAAAGTATATATATCCGTGTATGTAAAGTATTCAGCTGACGAGTTCTACCGAAATTTGATGAATTCATTAAATCCTGCTTTATTAACCTTTATTGCTTGTTTTAAATACAGCTAATTAGTGTTCTTGGATTCGGATTTTAAGGGGACGCGCACTTTAACCGATGTAATGTTTATCGTAGTTCATACAATTTATTTTGTAAATGGTATTAATTTTATCTTCTTTTTCTGTTGGATGGGTATTTTGGTTTGCACAATATCGAATAAAGTGGTTGTGCTGGCTGTCTGGTGTGCTATATCTATTTCAAACGGTCTTAATATTAATTAATACCATTTACAAAATAAATTGCATGCATGAACTGCAATTAAAAACATTACACCGGTGAAAATGGGCGTCCTCTCAGATTCAGAATCCAAGAACACAAATTAGCTGTAAACGGACATGATATATATCCTTTCATATCAATGCATTTAAATAATTATGAACACGAATATGATTGGGATAATAAGGAAACATCAAAAATGATTTCCGGGAATTCCTAGAAGCCTGCCTGGTACTCAAGTGAATCAGCCAGCGATTAAGAAACACACATTATTATAGACCAAATTTACCAGCTAATAAAAAGCAAATCACATAACAGGAAAGTTCGAATTCCAATTCAATAAAAATATGATCAACAGAGACATAAATCAACCAACAACCAGTTACGAAGATGGTTGACAGGAGATACGATGACATTATCATTCATGGATAATTTAAATGAGTCCATATTGTACTAAAAAACTGCGCTGAAGGTAGATGTTGTCAAGCAGGGGAACGACGAAAGCTTTGCAATTTAGTCATCAACCAGCTCCTCAGAGAACACAACCAAAAAATGGCGATCTAGTCAAGTAATGAAGTCTCAAGTCTAACACTAGATGTGACTACTGAACGGTTACCGGATAATCACACAATTGAACGTACTTTATGCACTGACGCATGCAGTTGTTGATGAAAGCACTGCACTAAGATGATGTTACAGGACTGGACTACACCGATTCCTAGTTTAGAAATAGGTAGTGAAGTGGAAGAGCACGTTGACCGCTTCACTTACTTGGGAAGTACCATCAGCCCCAACGGGTTGATCTCTGACGACATCTCAGTACGAATACAGAGGGCTAGTTTCGCATATGCCAGTTCACGCCGTCTCTGGCGTAGACGTGATATCCGCCTATAGACCAAAAGCGGGTGTACGCCTCATCAGTCCGTCCTCCTTTATGGCTGTGCATGAGACATGGCCATTGAGAGTGGAAGACATGAAAAGGCTGGCTATCCGTCTTTGATCATAGGTGTCTGCGTTTTATCTCCCGTGTGAAGTGGTATAATAAGGTGAGCAATATTGAGGTTAGGCATTGGTCGAGTTCTAGGTAAGGAGGGGAAATCAATCGACGAGGCTGTGAAATTACATCGACTGAGGTGATTAGGACATGTGTTACGTATGCCAAGTCATCACCTCCCTCAACGGGCAATGTTAGCTGAAATACAGTCAGGCTGGAAAAGAGCTAGCGGTGGTCAAACCAAAACAAGGCACCAGTCAATGAAATCCACTACACAGTTAGTTTAAGCCAGTCACGTAGGGAGGTGTAGACTTCCTGGTTGTGGTCCTCGGGATGGTTAAAACCAATGGCGGCTAGAGAAAACTGGTGATATGGCTCAAAACCGTTCTCAATGGCTGGCGCAGATCCATCCACTCCTTGTGACTTATGATTTCCAATGAAACTGTTTTGTTCTTCGTTATTACTATTCCTTTGTCTCACACCTCTGTTTACTGTCTATATTATGCATTTCTCCTACTTTCTTCTCTTGTTTTGTGTGCTACATGGAGTGTGGCGACTTGAACTGCCGCACATTGGTGCGAAGTTCTATGTCGAAAACAGACAGACAGACAGACACGGAAAAAGTGCACTTATAGTTTAGATCCTGAAATATTTTAGTCATAATTTCACATAATGTAACCAAAAAACGTTATGCTGTTCTTACCATTACCCCCTTAAATAAATGGAATAATTTATTCATGCGTAAAAGTTAATTAATAGATGAATGACTTAATTAATTACCTCAATATCATCGGGTTTTTCGTAAGTGTATTCATCAAACTCTAGAAACCTTGAACCAAAATCATCTGCCGCTACAAATGTAGAATCCGAGTCTGACATAGAATTATATTTATTTTCTCTCTCTAATTCATCAATTCAACTTCAAACAGACACTGTCGGTTATATTACAAAATTAAATTACAGTCCCTATATGGTAATCTGATTAGAATAACTTTAACTTTATAACTTACCTGATTATCAAATGATATATACAAAAACAGTCACAATTATCGTCTCATGTATCGCATTTCAATAGTGATTATGTAGTTCCTGCATCCTGCTAAATGGAAAAATTATGCAGCAATTACATTTATATATGTTTATGAGGAGTATTAACTATTATTACTTTATATGAACTTAGTTACTTTTTATAAACTGTAAGTCAAGCGTCTGTCTGTCTGGATTCAACATAGAACTTTGCACCGAAGTGCAGCAGTTCGAGTTGCCGCGTTCCAAATAGCACACAAACGTAGACAAGAAGATGAGTGAAGAGAATCAATAGAGTTTTGACAGGTATAAGAGTGAAACAGAATGAGTAATGGTAGAAAGGAATATGAAAGATTACACAAGAGACTGAATACATCTGCGTAAGCCATTGACAACGATTTTGAGCCATGTCACCTATTGTCTGTCTCCAGACATTGATTCTTAGAGTCCCGAGGGCGGGCCCCGACCCGGAAGTCTGCATCTCCCTACCTGACTCAGTTTATTTAACTGTCAAGGATTTCATGGATTGATGCCATGTTTTTGTTTGCCCACCACTCACTCTTTTCCAACCTGCACCTATATCAGCTAGTAATGCCCGTCCGTCGGGGGAGGCGATGGTTAGGCATGCGCAGGACGTGACCTAGCCATCTCAATCTATGTATCTGTATAGCCTCGTCGATTCATTTTCCCTCTTTGCCCAACACTCTACCCCTGACGTCAAAATTACTTACCTTATTATACCACCTTAAGAGGTCGTAAACATCTATGGTCAAAAACAGACAATCTTTTCATGTCTTCAACTCGTATTGGCCATGTTTCAGAGCCGTAGAGAAGGACGGAGTGAACTGCTGAGCAGTACACACGTCCCTTGGTTGATAGCCGGATGTCAAGCGTATGATACGGTGGTCAACGAAAGTCATTTTTTTACTTTCCTAAGGAACAAAATCTGGAGCATACGTCTTTGGTGATGTGAACAACTTCGGACTACACCACAGTTGCTAACACCTGATTACAAGACTTTTCGAGAACTTCAAACAAGTAGCCTACACTTCCTTACATAGCTCATATCATGGATAATATTACCACTTAGCAGATGGAACAGAGCCACACTTTTCATGTCTTTCACTTTCAGTAACTATGCTTTAAACTCACATCAAGTGAGTCAGAATAAAATGCTGTCCACCACAAGCACACACACACATGTACACAGACACCGCATCACCAAAGGTAATACAAGTTGGCATATTCCAAACGCTCCTTTTTATCCGTATTGAGATTCCGTCAGCTGCAAAACCATTAGGGCTTATACAACCTTGTAAACACATGAAGCGATCAACCTATTCAATCGCTTCACTCGGTTAAGATCAGTCTTGTAACATCATCCTACATTTTTATAAATAGTATTCATAAGCGTCCGCATCTGACTTGGTGTGCTTTTGTAAGCGTGTGGGCGGTTGTAACTTCCCGGCTGCCCACACTGTGGGAGTTGATTTTTTCTTCGGGTACCTGGAACAGAAAGACAGTTAGTGTTGCGTCACGGCAGAGCCCACAGGACAACTGCGTGAGGCCAGTGCGTCACACACGGCCTGTATGAATTGGTTTCTTGGATTGGTTCCACATTAGTAACTTACCGCCGGTTACGGACCACCGTAGGTGGGGTAAGTCGGGATGTACAATTTTGGAGGTCGACCTTTTCTAACCCCCTCTCTCCGGAGTGGAAAGACAACATAGCTAGCTGGCATGCTGGTCATCTCAGGGAAACACCTCACTGCTGTTACACTCCTGTTCCCCTGCAGTACGACTTCGCCCACAGACCCCCAGCATAGTGTAAGAAAGATTCTTACACTATGTCGGTAACTGCTTTTAGTCTAATCGCTATCCTAACAATCTTCCTGGCATGGTAGGACTTGCAGGAACATTGGTTCCAGCCAATGTAGTTTGTTGGGTTATTGCGATATGCAGGCTTGACCACCACGTCAACGCAGCAGCTATCGGTCGGGCGTCAGCTCCTAGGAAGACTATATCATTTGTGCTTACTAAACCAACGAGACTAACCTCAGGTAACGACAAGTTTATTCGTTTAACACCGAAGTCGACCGGGAGTTACACCCATCACGGAACGTACAATGGAACTGAATAAAATGCCGATACTGGACATCCCTGATGGACAATACTAGTTGTCACCCAGTCTAGTCAATTCCAACAAGTATCCATAAAACCTTACATGGCTTCATTAGTTTAGGTCGATTTGTTTGGATTATGCCAATATGGAATAGTATGATTATAGGAAGGTAAAATCCACAACAGTTAGTTTAAGCCACGTAGGAAGGTGTAGACTTCTTGACTGGTTGGGGTCCTCGGGACGGTAAACACCAATGGCGGCTAGAGACAATTAGTGATATGGCTCAAAATTATTCTCAATGGCTGGCGCAGATGCATCTACTCCTTGTGACTTATTATACCCAATAAAACTATATAGTTCTTTGCCTTATATCTCTGTTTACTGTCTCTGTTTTGCATTTCTTTTTACTTTCTTCTCTTGCTTTGTGTACTACATGGAGGGTGTGTGGTGACTCGAACTGCTGCACATCGGTGCAAAGTTCTATGTTGAAACCAGTCAGTCAGTATGATTTTAGAGCTGGTTTTCCACGTCTTATTGACCTAAGAGAATACTAGACGACAGTGATTAATGACGATATCTCTGTTAACTTTGTCATCATTGACTTCTAGAAGCTTTCGATGAATACTTATGGAAAATCTAGATATTTCAATAATAAATAATAGCGTCACAGACTTCCATCGAAATGGAAGATAGTACTGTCTGCTTGCATGCCATAGAGTGGAAAGTGGCGAGCCACAGAGTATTAGTCTAGGCCCCCGTTTTTCGTATTCTATGTTAAAATAACACCTTTTTAACATTATGTCTCGTCTTATATGTACAAATGCTAAATTTCGTGAACCTATACATCGTAAAAGGGATACGCTAGCCACCATATATACAAAAATATATATAAGCGTGAATATGCATTTAAGTGATAATAACTTGCATGGATTCCCAACTGACGACTTTAGTGTCTAAGGTTACTGAGTATAAGGCTCCAGGATTCATTGTAGCCAAAAACCTTTGGGAGTGAACCGAATAATAATTTAGCAGCCGCTAAGAGTTTGTGATCAACACTTTCGTAAACATCAATAAAAGTATGTTCCCCATAGCACAACCAATACTACACTTTATTTGGAATACAGGAATTAAGCAACGGGCATTAGATATTTGCGCAGCACACACTTTTAGGCGTCCAACAATTGCCATATTTCTTGACTTGAAGGCGGCCTTCGACTCCGTGGATCGAGAGGTACTATGGCGATGTTTGACTGTGAAGGGAGTGCCAACAAAGTACATTGCACTAATCAAGGCACTCTACTCAAACTCACGTAGCTGTGTAAGGGCTTATGGGGAATTGTCATCTGAATTGATAACAACCATTGGTGTCCGTCAAGGATGTCCACTTTCCCCTTTTCTGTTTAACTTCATTATAGATATGCTAATGGAAGTATCCTGAACTGAACTTAACGACTTAGGAACCGACTTGTTACCAGGGAATAGTCTTATGGACTTAGAATATGCAGATGACATAGTCCTGTTAGGGGAGGACGCTGACAAAATGCAGAGTCTTCTGAACACCCTGAGCAGCAATCTTCGTATGTTTGGCATGCGATTCGCCCCTGTAAAGTGTAAGATGCTGCTACAGGACTGGACTACGTCAACTCCTAGCTTAGTGATAGGGAGTGAAGTGATAGAACATGTTGACCACTTCACCTATTTGGGAAGTTGTATCAGCACCAACGGATTGATTGGTGACGAAATCTCAGCACGGATCCAAAAAGCTTGGGCTGCTTTCGCTAACTTACACCGTCTCTGGCGTAGGCGTGACATCCGGCTATCAACCAAGGGACGTGTGTACTGCTCAGCAGTTCGCTCCACCCTTCTCTATGGCTATGAAACATGGCCAATACGAGTTGAAGATATGAAAAGGTTGACTGTTTTTTATCATAGATGCCTACGATCTTTTTCTCACGTTATAAGGTGGTATAATAAGGTAAGTAGTGTTGACGTTAGGCGAAGAGGGAAAATCAATCGAAGAGGCTATAAAGTTACATAGATTAAGATGGCTAGGTCACGTGCTTCGTATGCCTAGCCATCGCCTTCCATGACGGGCATTACTCACTGATATAGGTGCAGGTCGGAAAAGAGTAAGTGGTGGCCAAACAAAAACACGGCATCAATTCATGAAATCCTTGACAGTTAAACTGAGTCAGGTAGGGAGATGCAGACTTCCGGGTTGGGGCCCGCCCTCGGGACTCTAAGAATCAATGTCTGGAGACAGACAATAGGTGACATGGCTCAAAATCGTTGTCAATGGCTTCCGCAGATGTATTCAGTCTCATGTATAATCTTTCATATTCCTTTCTACCATTACCCATTCTGTTTCACTCTTATACCTGTCAAAACTCTATTGATTCTCTTCACTCATTTTCTTGTTTACCTTTGTGTGTTATTTGGAACGTGGCAACTCGAACTGCTGCACTTCGGTGCCAAGTTCTACGTTGAATCTAGACAGATAGACAGACATTTGCGCAGCAGTAGAAAATAAATGGCAAAATCACTTTCCAACTTTGTAAACAGTGATCAGATTACACCTCCTACTATTGAAGCGAGAATTAGTTTTAGCATTTCCTGTAATAAGCATTGAATTGAGTGACAGACTATCCTATTTCCAAACTGAGTAATTTACATATCTCAATATGCTACAAACATGAACTACTTTCGAAGGATTTCACAAAAAGTTATTTTTTTATCTCTCTTTTGATACGCAACAGTATTACTAAGACAATTAATATAGTCTGAAACTCTGTATTTTTGTGATTTTTCCGCTTCAGTTTTTAGATCTTTGGCGGATCCCAATACAGTAGATTTATTCTCCCATCTGTTGTATTTCTGTTAGATACAGTGGTTAAACGAATATCAGTTTATTTGGCGAAGAGTACAATTACATTTTATAAGCTTTCTCTCGAAGCTATCCTCTGCCTGAAATGTGACCATGTCAGCAAATAATGAAACCAAAAAGGAAAAAACTAAGAGAAATGAAAATGGGTTGCACATGTTCTACTACGTTTTGATGAACAATTCTGAAAGGATTATCTTCATATCTTTTATTCAGGTGACCTGGGCTTTCCGCTACTTTACAGGTCTT